TAAATGGCATCAATAAAAGATATGAACATTAATATGATAATCATAGTAAACTAATTTTGTAATCAAACGTGAAATTATAATATTTGCCAGTAATTGTGGATTAGTGAGTAATATTAGTATTGTCATTAACAGTATTAGTAGTAGTATTATTATTATTAGTAATAGTAGCGGTAGTAATATTATACAGTACGAATATATAAAATATTTACTTGTAACTTATCAAATCCTTATACATTTTTGAAGTTAGTGATTAAAATTTTACTCATTTTCAAATCTATTAATTTGTAAACAATCAATTGCAAACAACTTGTCAGCATATTCTCTGCTAAATGTAATTTTTTTTATAGATTGCGGAATAAAAATAAAATAAAAAAATTCAAATCTATCAATATAGCAATTAGTTCTAAAATAGTTCTAATTTTCCATGAATTTAACTATTGCCTTGTGGAAATTTATAGATAGCGACAAAAAATTTCAAAATGTTGAATTAAAATCTGTTACGTATACGTTGACTTAAATTTTATTTATCGATATGGTATTTTATAAAGAATATTGCATAAAAATATAAAATACCTTTTATTGGTATAAATAATACATACAAATCTATAAAATAAAATAGTCTTGTCAATTTATTTTCTATAATTTTATTATCTTCTAGAAATTTAATTCTAATTAGAATCGTCATTTATAAAAAAAAACTGTTAAATCATCGTTACTATGAGGATATATCAATCATATGATTTGTAAAAAAACATATTATAGCTGACAGATTTTTTAGCAAATACATTACAAACATACAGATATATATATATATATATTATATATATATATATATAAATTATAATAGCATAAATCTTTTAGAAAACCAGGTCAATCCAGTCATATGATCTTTCAATGGTTAATTATATTGTTATATTATAAGCACGTATATAAACACAAATACTTATAAATGTATATATGCTCATTTATTATTTTTTTGTAAAAAGTAGTCATTTCAATAAGAAATATTGCCATCAAAGATAATTACAGCTCATATTCACACAACTTGCTTTTGAGGCGTTTCTTAGAAAACTTGTAAATTGCATCACACCTCGCAATTTTAGATGTTATATAAAATCTTAAGATCAGTTTTCATAAGTGAACATCTTTTTAAGACGATATCTATTCTTTTTTACTTTAAAATTAATGAAGTATGAGATCATATATGTTCTGAGAAAAATCTTCATAATATAGTTTTTTTTTTAATTTATATATATATATATATATATATATATAATATATATATATTCATCTCTCATGCATGCATAAATGTTTAATCCGGTATGCAAAGCGACCTTGTAAGGCCGTACAAATCTAAAGCCTGTTTTTGACCCATACAAATAAACCAAAAAATACAAATATTATATTATATATTTATATATACACACATCTTCACATATACAAATACCGTGGAATTATTTCGTAATATAATTGCCACTCGCAAATATAAAAACATGATACAGTTCATTATGCTTTCAAGTTTTTGATGATAGCATAATCTAATGATCAAGATTTTTTAAGTGGAAAATTTTATAAATATACTCATTTTCAATAGTCATATATAATTAAATATTTATTTTATACTGTGTAAAATAATCTTTATTATGTAATTAGATAAATTATTAGATTTGGTAATTTTCATTAAGGTTTAGGTAATTGTAAGGTCAGTTGCATGAACTTTCCGATATGGAGATAATCGATTTAAACAATATAATGGAGATTTAGTAATGAATTTAAAATAAAACCAATTCTTATAGGCCTATAATATTTTAGGATGTTTGATAAGTTCATGTAAATTTAATTACTTTACCTCTATTCAAAATTAATCACCATTATTTTGAATTTCTATATAAATTATAATTTATCTATATGGTACTTTATTGAGAAAATCCAATGGTTTGCCTTTAATTTGTAGTACAAAAAAAAAATTAAAATAAATTTTGAACAAAATATTACGAAGAAACGACCTGGCCGATCTTTACCAAGAATTGATCAGCAAGATTTATCATAAGCTATTTATTGAATTATTTTTTATATTAAAATTAAATTGGAGGAAAAATATTTTATTACTTCGTGGTTCATGACCATCATCAATCTATTATTCACGAAAAATTTCTGTGCTGAATAATCATATATTCATTGAAAAATATTTGGTATAAACTGTAAAATTTATTCATGTTTTGCAATAACAGGAATCATAAAGTTTATGCATAATAGAAATTTTATGAAATATTGTGAAATATTACGGAATGACACTCTTCTAAGGTTACGACTTTGATAATGACATTTTAGGAATCTTTAGTGACCTTAAAAATATTTACAGTATTTTGCTTATTCATCAATATTTTTCTGGTAATGTTCATCTTCTTCCAGGTAGTAATAATAATACTAAGTATTTTATTGAAATACTTCAAATTTTTATGAACTGAAATTTTATGAATTTGTGGTTGACCAAAAATTTGGATTTTTTTTACATATTTTTGAATACTAAGAAAACTTTGATTCCTTTTGCAAAAATAAAAATCTGTATTTATGAACGATAGAAAAAAGGCTAATATTTATAAATATAACTAGTGGGGTGCATCGCATCGTGCCTTAAGGCAAATTTCTGGAGCTTCCCATACCGTAATTAAAAATTTTGGTACGGAACATAAATAAATTTACACAAAATGTGTACACATTATTAAAATCTCTATAAAATATCTGATAATTTCATGTACATATGTTCAATAAACATTTTTGTCCGAAAAATGACATATTTTGAACTTATTTTTATTGAGAGTCCATAACCGTGGACCTGCCTTCCGAAAAATTTAATCAGTTCTTCACTTTGTCAAAACAAGTAAAATGTTTTTTGAACGGACGCTGAGTTCTCTTAAAAACTGAGTTACCGTTTTTGGCACTTTTTGCCCCATATCTTCGGAACGGTTAGACCTGCTTGTGCCAAAAACTAATCAGCACGTCTTCTTATCAATACGAATCGAATGTTTTTTGAATTATTCGCATCGATTGATCGGTGTTCCCGAAATTGCCGACGAAAATTTGTATCCGCACACACACACATACATCCATTTTTTCTAAGGTATGCCTAAATATTCAGAAACTTACCCTACGGGAAGTTAATAAGATTTTGAAGGTATTATGAAATTCTATAATAATTTAAGGTAGAATATAGCAAAGTTTTTTTGTTATATTTCTTACCATAAATTTATGGTAGTTGCCCAATAATTTATATTATGAATATATCGCCATTAAAATTTTAAATATTCAATTTGTTAGATATTTTTGCCTTTTGACAAATGTTTTTTTAATTACTTATATGCATTATGATCCATTATATGAAAAAATCAAGTAATATGCAACCCTATGGTTGTCTTTTCTTGCTATGATATATTTTAATCTACTAAATATTTTTGTATAATTAAATTTTTGCAGTAATGATGACCTAAAGTGTAAATTACACTTGGAGACAAATTTTGATCTATATTTCTAACAATAAGTGGAAATGGATGTCATTACAGCTTGTTATCAGGTTGTTAACCATTTACATTTGAGTGGCAATATATCAGATTTATATTATATATCTATGTTCGTATATTGTGTCTCCAGAAGGTGTTTGAGATATATGATTTCAATAGAAAATCTGGTATCATACTGCTTGATACCGAGCTGGCCGAAGTTAAGATCGATGCAGAGATTAAAGAATGTTGCTAACGTTCTTCTAATCAAAAATATATTATAAAACATACAATTTATCTAGATAGAATTTAATTATAAAGCCTATTGTTAACTATGAGATGAAGAGAACAGATAATGTTTAGGAAACATAATTTACATTTCAATAGCTTTGTATAAAAACCGACTAAAAATTAAACAATAGAAATAACAAATCCAAATCGCATGTAAATAAAATTTATTTCACTTAACTCATGCGTTAAAGTCTGCGTTTTGTTGATTGCAATGATATTTACATATTAGCATATCGTGATGATGTTCTGATAAGTGAAAAAAATAATTTCTGTACATAATTTAAATAAATTTCAACACGCAAATACAGATCCATGCATTATTAAGATTATATTTACGTTTTGATATATGTAGAAAGTCCGAAAAGGTAATGAGGCGACGACTTATCGACGGATGGAGTGAAATTCTATCGAAATTATTATGACTTTCATAAACACAAGCAAATGTGTATCAGGAAATCATTATGTAAGGAGACACGCGATTATCTATACATATGAGTCGACAGAATAAAAACTCAAAAAAAAAAAATTAAATCGGAATCAGTCTACATACTTCAATTAGATATTACGTATGGTTAATAATTATAAAGCCCGGCATGTTATTATGAATTAGATAACTCGGAAGAAATGAAAAAGAATGAGGTTTTTTTAGAAATGAATCCGGGTTTAACGCGGAAAATGTCGCCGGATTTCTAAAAAATAATTTTGCATACATTGACTGCATTTCCAGTCTCAAGAATAAATTGAGCTCTATCAGAGATAAATTAATCATGGCTGGAAATTAATCACTAACATCTACTTCATGAAAATATTTTGCTATTAATATTGTTATTTATGAATAAATGATTTTATTTAATATTCAAATTGCTCAAACTACTCAACCATTGAGGTCAATATGCAATTATCGATTTACTAAATTGCTATTGCATTTTTTATAAAGCAAAATTGTAAATATAATAGAGCACAATGTATGTTCTTCATCGTGATAATAAAAATACCATGCCATTCCATAACAGATAATTTAACGGGTAATTAAATTGCGATTCTAGCAATAAAAAAAACTTAAAAAAGCTAATGTTATTTGTTATATTTCGATTTATAATTGCGAACTAATGAATACAACTACTCATAGATTTAATATAGAAGCATACTGAAGGTAGTCTTATATTCATTTTTTTTATTTTTCATCCAAGTAGTTATTTGAACCAAATTAAATCAATCAAAGTTATATCCATTCCAATTTTAAATCCAATTGAATCATCCTCTATGTGATAAATATAGAAAATGGTTAAAAATAATATGACCGTATTTTTTTTAACTTCAAATTCCTAATTTGATGTTTTCATGATTTTTAAAACTATTTTTTCAGTAGAATTTAAACATAGTATGTAGTATTCAAGAATATTATATAAATTATATTTTTCAAATTAATTTTTTTTTAAATCGGAATTATTAAAATTGAGTGGCAATCAGTCTTCCTCGCTTTTAAGTATTATATGAAATTTTGTAAATCTTAATTATTAACTTTAGTGATTAATCTAGCTTTGACTTTGCAAGTAAATTTTGTAAAAATATTTAAAATAAATAAAATAAGAATAAAATATATAAAATAACGGAACAATCTGGTATGAAAAACCTAAATCAGGGACATTATTGCTTCTAAAAAAGTTCGGGTTGTAAGGTGGAAATCCGGAACTTTTCCGAGACCATGATATTACAAAACACTAATTCACGCGTTTTTGCACTAACTTGTATCAGAATTGTTTTAATATTAATCCTCAGTTTAACTAACACAGTTAAAAAAAAACAAACACAAAGTATTTAAAATAAAACTGAAATTGAAAAAATTGGACATATTAAACCGCCTGCATTAAACTTTATAAGTTAATACTCTAGTAGTTTAATTAAAGTCATCTCTAAAGCGCTCTACTTTCTATTTATTTATTAGTTAAATATCTAAGTTTATATATATATATATATATATATATATATATATATATATATATGTTGATAGTTTTGTCAATGGACAAATTAAAAATTTGAAATAATTCATATGTTGTTCTTTTGCATAAGTTTAGTTTTAATAATTTTATATATTTTTTGTGTTTTTCCCGGTTTGGTATGTATATAGTATTCTCCTTTTTATATTTTTATATTTAATATAAACTATTGTTATCTATGTAATATGGTTTTTTAGATTACTGAATGATGACACACGAATTGAGTGTTAAAATCTTTAATAAAATAAAGATTTTTTAATTTAATCTTTTTTTTAATTCGACGATTGGGCTGCAAAATATTTTAAATATATATCCATAAATATATCCATTTATATTTTTATATTTAATATAAACTATTGTTATCTATGTAATATGGTTTTTTAGATTACTGAATGATGACACACGAATTGAGTGTTAAAACCTTTAGTAAAATAAAGATTTTTTAATTTAATCTTTTTTTTAATTCGACGATTGGGCTGCAAAATATTTTAAATATATATCAATAAATATATCCATATATATATTATATATATAGAGCTATCAAATTTCATTGAAGTAGCACATAATTAACTTGAGCATGTTTTCGTTTCCTCAATAAATTTTCTAATTAGAGATTTCAATGAATTACCAGTCAATGGTAACGGTATTTAATTATTTAATTAAGACATCGTTAGATTCAACAGGTTTCTCGAAGATAAATCTTGATTAGATTAGATTTTGCACAATGTAACTCGAAGATATCGAAGTTGGAATTGTAAAGTTGAATTAATAAAATATAATCAAAGTTAGAAAAATTATTTATACTCTCACAATCAAGTGATTATTTATTTCATGATAAATATGTCAGTTCCAGTCAGTCCATAAAAAATACTAAATATTTTTTTTTAATAAATAGGTGAAATATGCATTAAGTATTTCTTATATTGCGATTGTGTTGTGATTTACATAACGATTGAGAAGGTTTGATTGTCTTTTGCTCTAATTATTGCAACAGCATGCAATTTTCTAGTGCATTGCCTTTTGTTGTTTCATCTATGTAATATATATATATATATATATTGAATGGTAGAGTCTTGGATTTGTGTATATTTTTTGTAGAGTTTCGAACAAGAATCCAAAAATAATACAAAATAAAAAAACAAGAAAAGTTTTTAATAAACAATTTCTTTATTTAATTATTTGTTTACTGTCAACGTTTCGGAACTAGGTACGTTCCATCTTCAGGACATCTGTCAAGAAACATGATCTTGATAAGATTTAAGCAAACAATATGTTTAAGAATATTAAGAAAATAGATTTTTCTTAAATAATAAATTAATTGTAACAAATAATAATGTACAGAAATATGATAATATGATCAAAATGAAAATGATAAAAATAAATGAGTGGATTATTAGAACAGGATATTAAAAATGATAGAAATTTTTTTGAAAGTTATGGAAAAATTTTTTAAGAAAGGATTAATGATAAAATTGAATTAATTACCTGTATGTTTGAATATACGTTAGCACTTTTTCACTAAACAAGAATTTTTGACAAAAAATGAATTTGTGAGTTATTAATAATTTTAAAAAGACAACACTTTTAGTAATTTTGATTTACAAAAGTTAACTATTCGGCGGAAAAATAACTCACAAATTCATTTTTTGTCAAAAATTCTTGTTTAGTGAAAAAGTGCTAACGTATATTCAAACATACAGGTAATTAATTCAATTTTATCATTAATCCTTTCTTAAAAAATTTTTCCATAACTTTCAAAAAAATTTCTATCATTTTTAATATCCTGTTCTAATAATCCACTCATTTATTTTTATCATTTTCATTTTGATCATATTATCTTATTTCTGTACATTATTATTTGTTACAATTAATTTATTATTTAAGAAAAATCTATTTTCTTAATATTCTTAAACATATTGTTTGCTTAAATCTTATCAAGATCATGTTTCTTGACAGATGTCCTGAAGATGGAACGTACCTAGTTCCGAAACGTTGACAGTAAACAAATAATTAAATAAAGAAATTGTTTATTAAAAACTTTTTCTTGTTTTTTTATTTTGTATTATTTTTGGATTCTTGTTCGAAACTCTACAAAATATATATATATATATATATATAAATTTACATATTTTGCATGGGCATGCATATAAATATGCTTATACGCATTTAGAACTTGCGGGAAATTTTATTATAACTGTAAAGCTATATGAAAAACGAATTCTTCCACTTCAATTACATAGAGAATTGTATTACGATATAAATATTTTATTTGGTGATACTTATATTTGGTGATATGTGTATTTTATTTGGTCAATAACAATTTGTAACGATCATGAACTTCGATAGACCTTCGCATAAATATAATAAACGTGATTCTCATATGATGTTTCTCAAATAAAATTTAATAAGTATTGTTTTTAAATATTTAAAATTATATAAAGATGTGGTACTTACAAAGTATGGTATGTGCTTGGCTTTTTGGTTTTTCAGTTTGCTGCTGATTTCGTCTTTTATATGCTGCGTTTTCGAACTTTGCATATAATACATTTGCCATATGCTAGGTTTTTCACGGTGAGCTCTTGTCTCTAAAATAAATAATAAAAATTATAATTAAATTATACGTCATTATTATAAATTAATATAAACAATCCATTAGTTATACTAATTATCTAAATTCAAAACTTTTAGTAATATCATTAATCTGGCCATGCCAATTCCATTGTGTTTTAAATTTGGTAGTAAAAATTTTGTAATATTTATAATTTTAGTATAATAATATTATATAGAATGTCTTCTCTGGATTTATAAATAACGTTGTTTACAAAAAAAAAATATAAATTTAATAAAAAGTCATTCCTATTACAATACCATTTGTTTAACCAAAAAATCAATAGTTTATAAAAGAGTTTAGTTTTTTTTTTATTTTTGAAATTTGAAAATTTATTTGAATTATTCCTCTATATACATA